TTTACAGTGTATTCTAGAAAGTTCTAGCTTTTCACTTTATGCAATTTTCCAAACTTCTTTATCCCTATTTAACAAAAAGCTTAAAAGAGTAAAATTGTACATTTATTATTAGACACCTTATATTTAAACTTAGATAGTTATTGGCCCCACCTATATCACAGTCATTGGCCCCCGGCCAACCACTATTTAGAGGCTTTAAAATGACCCCTATTAGTCCTATTGATTTATAGGATTTTTTGTTATTCTATTTTGCTCTGAAAATATCTTATTTTAAAAATGGTTCATCTAAACACAGTAATTGTCCCCGGGGCCAATAATTGTTTTCCCGCCAATTTTTGTTGGACAGTTATTGGCCTAGTATTATTTTATACATTTTTATGGTTATATTAAAAAAATATCTTTAAAATTAACACTAAATATAATATAAAATCACCAGAACACATTCACAACATAATAATTAATAAATTCCAAAGATATTAACTTACTTGTGTCACTCTGAACTTAACCAAATCACAAGAATTTCACTTATTCTTCACGTTGTATGTATACCGTCTGGATACATTAGCGCCATTTCTAACTGAACGTTGCCAAGTGCTCCAAAAAGTTAGGCATACTAAATAAATAGTTGGAGTATGTTTCGCAATTGCCTAATTAAGAAAAAGCAAAAGAGTTTCCTTAATATTGTGATTTAAAGTCAATATGGCCAATCACTACCCCGAGGCCAATCACTGTATGCTTTACCCTATCAGTAAACATTTTATATTATTCGAATTTCAAGGTTATGAATGTTGATTTTCAAGTAATAAATGATATCACACTTGAGAAGGTGATCTAGAAACTGCAATTTTTGAAAAATTATCATTTGAGGTTAGTGGCGGCTGGTGCATAAGTGCTGAAGATAGGGATGTCACCTGTACGGGTTTCACCCGAATTGTCCGGGTTTTGTACAATTTGTCCAGAGTCCGGTGGCATGATGGATGAAAATGTCGGGGAATATCTGAATAACTTTTTTAGAAGTTCGACAGAATAAGCTGAGGACCTTGAAAATGTCCAGGAATATCTGGATAACTTTAGAAGCTCACTGAAGAACTTGGTTTATAAAATAAGCCGAGGACCTTTTTTTTGAAGCTTGACGAACCTGGTTTATAAAATTATAAGCTAAGGACCTTTTTTTAAAAGCTCACCAGAAGGACCTGGTTTATACATTTATAAGCTCAGCACAGGACTTTTTTTTAGAAATTTCACAAACAAAGGTCCGGGTTTTGTGAAATAAAAAGGTGGTAACCCTAGCTGAAGAGCTGCAGAAGGGCCAAAACAAAAAAAATTGCAAGTATCGCAGAAATTATTTTAGACATTCTAAAATATACGTACAATAGATTTTATGGATAATCTCATTAATATTAATTACTAAATAATAAACAGTGTATCCAAGAGTCCCAGGTTCGAATCCCAACATTGGCCGGGATTTCTTAACTTAATTTAATTATTTAAAATTAATTCTGATTCCTTGGTAGGATTCCCCACTCTGTTTATTACCTAGTCTAAGATTCAGATTATAGTTACTGCTAAAGTAAAACTCAAATTTGACACATTTAACCAGTGATGACACTTGGGGATAAAGGGAATAACTATTTAAATTTAGGGATTTCTTAATTAACCCTTCTGTAATAAAAAAAAGTTGCAGGAAAAAGTAATTTGCGTTTAAATTATTGAAACCCATTCTAATCGAGTAAACAAATTCATCCATTTGTCATGATTTATTTCGCACGTTGGCATCGCTTAGTTATGGTTGCCCCCGCCCTCGAAAAATCGCCGGTCTGCTCGATGGACACCAACGCCCTTAATTGTCGCCTTTATTAAATGTTTTAATTTTAAATTAAGCTGCGACTGTGGACTGTGTTATTTTTGTTTATTTCGTTTAGGTTAGTTGCGATGCAAGAATATTTTTAATTTTCCTTTGGCGCTTGCTTGTACCCTTATTTTTTTTTAAATAAACTAGAATCTTAAAAAATATATTTTTTTAAATTTGTATTATTGAATCAATAATCGGTATGTAGGTACTTTACAAAATGTTTTTTTGAGTAATTTGCAATTGTTATGTAAATGGTAGAGTTATCGGTTTGAGTAAATTAACAACAAGGTATATAACAAAAGTTTTTCAAGACCTATAAATTTGACTATCAGGTATACATCAATTAAATTGTTTAAATCGTTATTCATCATTGACTTCTTGAACATTTTTGATGTCAATGGGTAAGTTAATGACAAGTGGAGGGAAAGATTTCAGCTTAGATTAAAGAAAGTAATTTAAGGGTTCAAAATCTATAAATATGACTGTAATAGTATTAAAAATCTGATGTGTCCAACACATGACTTTCCTATCTAGTTATTACAGGCTTTTTCCGGTTATTTTGTACAACCTATTGCAGCACCTCCATAAATGTTTAGAGGATAAAATAAATATATACATTTTCCACATACATCTAATTCGAAACATTTTTCTATAGATATTCATTGAAAATTAAAACACTGGAAAATTTAAATTTAGCACTTTTCCTACAATTTTTCCATTACGGTCCATTTTAGAAAAATCATGTATAAACAAAAATTATAGAGATCGATATCGCAAAAACTTTTATTTCAACAATTTTCATAAAAATCGGAATTTTGCACATTTTGTCAAATTTCTCGAATACGGACCATTTCAGGAAATTTTGACAAATTATAGATAATATTATTAGAAATAACTTTTATTTAAACAATTTTTTTCTCCAAACATAAATAACAGATATATTCAAAAAAATATAAAAACGGCCCCCCATAAAGTACCCCTCCAGATGTTCCGACTTTGTCCAAAATCTAATCATTTCACGTCAGGCCGAAATAAAACTTAAGTTTAAAATTTAATGTTTTTTTCTTTATCCGTTTTTGAGTTTTCTTCAAAAATCGAAATTTACACATTTTCTCAAATATCTCGAATACGGTCCATTTTACAGAAATTAGGTATAGGATAAAAATTATAGAGAATTATATTACAAACAACTTTTGTTTGAACAATTTTTATAAAAAAATATTTTTTACATTTTGATAAATTTCTCGAATACGGACCATTTTAGGAAAATTTTGTATAGAACAAAAATTTTAGATAATAATATAAGAAGTAACTTTTATTTGAAAAAATTTCTTCCCCTAACGTAAATAACAGATATATTCTATAAAATATAAAAATAACCACCTATAAAGTACCCCCCAGATGTTCCGACACTGCACATTGGACGTTGGAAATTAAATTTGGTGTTTTTCTGTGTATCGGTTCATGAGTTATGCGACACACACACACACACACACACACACACACACACACACACACACACACACACACACACACACACACACACACACACACACACACACACACACACACACACACACACACACACACACACACACACACACACACACACACACACACACACACACACAAAGGCAATTCAGCATGTGTTAAAAGAAGAAGAAAGATACTATAATGCCACCTTTAATAATATCAGTAAATAATGACTCATGAAGTGAATATAGTGATTTAGAGACTTTTACGTTTCCTGATCTTCGAGAGTAGATAAGCGTATCTATTTTATATTTAAATGTTAATAATCATATTAGTAAAAAAGGAGTAGGGTCTGGCGGCGCGGCGTTGAGACCACCCAATTAACGCTGCTAGAAACTAAACAACCAAAAAAAGCTCAAAAGCGAGCAAGACTGCAAGCAAAACCGGAGCATGTCAAAAGTATGGTGAAAATATTGAATTTACCAAGTTCTTGTTATGTTACCACCAAAAAAACACAAAAAAAAAATTGGACTTAGCCAACCAAAAACAATTTTTTTTCTGAGGTGAGCGGCGAGGTTATTCACCTAAATAAAACTAGCACCTCAGCGGTTAAATTACAATTATTTAAGTTTAAAATAGTAACAAAAAAAAATAGTAATACAAACAAATACCCCCTAATTTACCCAACTGTGCGCTCATCAAATTACGATTAAAATAAGGGTAGCCCATTGTTACGTTCAACTAAACCGGGCGACACAGGCAAGGGCTTATCCAGGGAGGTGCGAGGGGGGCAGCTGCCCCCTCTTTCCGAACCCGAAAAAACTAAATTAAGATAAAATTAATATAAAGTTTTTAATTTTTTAAAAATATTTTTTTTTAAAGTTTATCAATACGAAACGTAGCTATAAAATACAATATATTTTTCAATTTAAAAACAAAAAAGTGCTGTTCTCAATTGTTTTATGTATCATTTTTTGCGAAACACATGATTTAGCTCTAAGAAGCAAAAATTTTGGATGAAGGCGTGCTTATAGACTTGTGTCATTTATGCATCAAAGCGGGTGATTCTCAAATAGGACACCATTCTCAGCACGATCCAAAAAACGCATCATACCGATCACAAAATGAAATAATTGATCTCTGTGGCGCTTCAATAAAGGAACAAATCATCTCAAATGTTAAAGAAGCTTGTGCTTATAGGATTCTGACTGACGAAACTGCAGAAGGACTTAATTTAGTAAGTATTGACAAAGCCATTGATGATTTTGTGACAAACTTAGACCTAGATCCTGATAAGTGTGTGGGGTTAGGTTTTGATGGATGTTCCACCATGTCTGGAAAAGAAACGGGGGTGCAAGCGATTTTGAAGCAAAAGTATAAAAAAGCTTTCTACTCCCACTGCTCTTCGCACAAGCTTAACCTTGTCGTGAACAACTTAAATGTTATCCTGGAAATACGAAACAGCGTTAGAACTATCAAAAAGATAATAAAATTTTTCCGCGAGTCTGTTTTACGACGCAAACTTATTGCAAAAATTCCTAAATTGTATTAAACTAGATGGTCAGATAAATATAAAAGCATTCGTGTTTTTAAGAAACACTTTGTCGATTTAGTTGATGCACTAGAGACATTAGCTGAGTAGGGAAATTGAGCGACAAGAAAAAGTGTATATCAAATGCACGCAGCGGCATGCAAATCTTCGTTTATTGTATTAGTATCATTAATTGCTAAGTATTCCGCCATTCTGGAACCCGTAGCAAATATACTTCAAATGAAGACACTTGATATAGTTAAAGTCAACAATCATATTCAAACTATTGTTGAAATGCTAAGAGTTAATCGGAAGAATGCGGAGAACGTAACGGCTGAAAATTTAAAAGAAGCAGGCGATATAGCAAAGCCTTTGAATTTTGATATAACTGTCGCTCGTATTGCCGGCCGACAAAAGCATAGAAACGACCCTCCAGCCCAAAACCCATGCGACTTTTCGAAAAGATCTCTCAAAATTCCTAACTTAGATTCAATCATTGGATCTCTACAAGTAAGATTTTCCACAGACAAATCACCTGCATTTTCATTAACCCATTTTCATCCGGGTAACATGAAACATATTTCATTGGAAGAATGGAAAAAAGCACGTCATCTTGTGAAAATTTCTCTAATTTGAAAGCCATTGAAGGAGAAGGTGAATTATGGTTCACAATGTGGAATAAGGTACAGGAAATACGAGATATCGCCGAGATTTTGAAAAAGAGGGGAATGTTTTTTCCGACAATTAGAAGGGCTCTTCTGATATTGTTTTCGCAACCTTGTACCAGTAGCACTATCGAGCGTTCGTTTAGCACTCTTCGTAGAATAAAAACATGACTAAGGAGCACTATTAGTGAAAATAGATTGAATGGATTAGCTATGCAGTGGGTTTTTGCAAACGAAGAGCAATTGGTAGAAGATGTAATTAGAAGATTTGCAAGCAATCCACGCAAACTAGTGTTAAAAAATTAAGTTTTTGTTTTTCAATAAATGGTGAATCCATTTTGGTATTATATATTATTTTAGCACTATCCTTCCCTTAAAATATTGAATTCAGAAAGCGGCTCCCCTTCTGTTTTGATCTGGATACGCCCTTGGGCACAGGTAAATTTCTTAAAATAACCATACCTTATAACTGCCGACAGTTTAAAATCACAGATTTTGTTTGTGCCGCCTGTGCTGTAAAACTCCCATAAAACTTTGATTTATTACTCCGTGTCGATTGCGATTCTATTATAGACAGCATAGTCTACGAAATAGAGCTAGAGGCTGAGCACTCTGAGTGCCCTCTATATATTATTTTTTAGTCACTATACTCTGTTTTTAAACTAAGAGGAGCGATTTGAATTTAAGTTGGCAATTCTGTAGCCTTCTGATTGGTCAGATTACATTCAGTTTCACACATTACTTTTTAGCATGAACATCAGCTAATAATTGATATTGTTGACAGTTCTGACATTTTATAATTTGATATCTCATCCATTACTTAGTTTTTTACTTTATTTCGTAAATAATAGTTCTTCAGTAAGCAATTGTATTGAAAATCTACAATTGTGGATCCTTCTACACTGAGTACTATTAAAGGTAGCAATTCCTGAAAAGCCTTACATGAAACGGAAGACACCTTATTATTTTACATGCTGATTCTGAAGGTTTTGGTAGAAAATGCAATTGGTTTTTGAAGGTAAAAAGATGGGAGATTACCATGAAGAGATGAATTCTAAAGTATTTTAGAAGAAAATAATTTTATTACTGATTTTTTAAAACTAAAAATTGATGAATTTCTAACCAAAATGATTAAAATGTAACTAAATATTCAAGCAAATTTTATTTATTAGAATAGAATAAAAATGTTTACAAAATTGTTATAACATTTAAAACATCATCTACCTACTACTTTAGGGATAATTTTAATTTGGCACAATGAGTTAACATTACCTTCACAAAAAATATTTTAAAAATTGTACTTAAAATTAATACATAGATATGTATGAATAGTTCACTTTAAAAAATATATGTTGACATATAGTGTTATAAAAATGTTGGTTCCAGTTTTCAAAACAAATTCTGACTAGGCCTGTATACTTTGAATGCCTTTATTTACCCTCTAGCGCATTAACCATGGGTTAACACTAAATAAGCCATAATATCCACATTATTCATAGAAGAGATACCAGTTACTGTGTGATCCACTTGTCATTCACTGATTAACTTTTACTTATTATACCTATAACAAATCTATCCTTAAAAATGTAAACAGATCTTTATATTTTATACTAACCTGGCTACATCTGGATATTCCATTAACAATTTTCTTAAATATTTAATATCCATTTTAAAAAGATCATAGTTATTCTCAAAAAGTCGATTTCAAAAGCAAGAAAAAAGTATTTCTGACATCAATCAACAACCATATTGACTTTAATTTGACAGTGACATTTCGTTTTAGACACACGTTTCAGATCACAATAATGTAAAATTTGTGAACGTTGTCTGGGACCAATTAAAAAATTACTTCTATGACATTTATTCGTTTCTTAACCGCTCATTGGCCGTTCACCGACTAAGGCCGATAAAGATTATTATTTCATAAATTTTGAACACGACTATATTTCAAAACTCGCTCTTAGTAACAAATCTAGTTACTTTTCCCTGTGTAAATGCGTCTTTTCAATTCGCTCCTCCTAGTTTAAAAACAGAGTATAGTTAATATTTAACGCAGTCATTGTTGACGTTAGAGGTCAAATTTGCATTTATACCTTAGGTTTGTTCCAACACAATAGCAAATCGGTATTCGTACTGTCGGGATTCTGCGCAGTCTAGATTTGGTGTTCCAACAAACTTCGGACTCAAAACTGTACAAAAACCTAGTGTTCCAACACACCCAAACCTAATCACAAACCAGTTTCTGTACTGTCAAATCAGTTCCTGGGTGTGAATATGAACGAATTGTCAAGATATGCGCAAAACGAAAGTGAGCTCGTAAATAAACCACCACAAACTCTAAAAATCGAATAATCAAAATTTATAAATCTTTTCATGAGTTTTATAATTTTTTTACTTCCCAAATTCAAAATTTTACATTTGTTAAATTTGCATTTACACAGAGTGTGTCTGACAACACAAAAATGTGTTCCAACACATCCAAGTTCTGAATCGCGTCCCAATCCTCGACAGGTCGTGGACAGGTCGTCGACTATCAGTCGTCGACAATAAGTTGTGGACTGGTTTATGTATGGTCCCAAAATTGTTGTTGGAACAAACCTCTTAGTAACAGGGTTCGACGGCAAAAAATCCATTGTCGTTGCTATAAATTAAAATATAATATTAGAAAAAATTATATAAAGGGTATTCTATATCTTGCTCTATTACATGTTTCCTTATTTATTTGCATCTAACTTTTGTTTTTAGACAAATGACACCGTTCCAGACCGATTTGCCATTTGTCAGTTCTGTCAAATACATCAATAGAATTGTTTCAGGATTACTACTGTAATCCAAATAAAAAATCTCACTTTCAGATGATCTGTAGGTACTTATTAAGCAATACGCGTTTCTTTTTCTTTTTTGTAATTAATCAAATCCCATTTAGTATAAAAATCCAGCAGATAACGAAGTAGTTACAAATTAACTTGTAGAGTAAGAAAAAAAAACGATTTTAATTCCTCCAGCAGGCATATCCTTTTTAAGAAAAGACGACGACAACCGATCGCGACGGTTAGAAGAACAGACAAGAGAGTTCGAAGGTGCAGGTGGAGGAGCGTTGGCTTGATGGCTTGTTGGCTAGGCACCTGCATATTTGTGCATACATATCATGACGGACAACAGGTAACAGGTGAAAATGCAGCGAAACGACCAAGCTGTAGATACATACGCGCCGGGCTGTTCGTACGTGCTGCCACTTGTTTTGTGACATTGGCGCTTTTAGACGATCGTGGGACGCACGACCAAGGTTGTATTTAACAAGCGTTAAATTTAGGGTAGAAAATGTTAAGATTATTAGGGTCTATTTAAACTTCCTTATTATTAGTATTATGATTAAGCATTAAACTGGACAAAATATTCAAAAAAGGTATCTATACTCGTTTTATATTTAGTATTTGTGCTTCTTTTTTAATAATCTTTTTCCTAATAAGATATAATTCTACAGTCAACAAAATGTTGGTTACTGAAGAAATGTGTAAGAGGCCAGTTGTGTTCTTAGAATATTTTTTAAGATATTTGAATTTTAAACATGTTTTTATTAATATTTTTACTAGTTAATTTTATTTAAAAATATTATCATTCAAAAATAGGTTTAATTAAGGACATTTTAACGGATTTACGTCTCAAATTTATAACAGATAAAAAGAAGCAGAAATTTAAGACAATTCAGACAGAAAAGAGACTTTTGCTTCCACGTGGTGACATGTCATTTGTCAACTTAATACTCGGTAAACACTGCTGATACAAAAAAAATTGTATAAAGCGCATGATTTGTACCGAAATATTATCGTTTTCGAGCTTGTTGGAACAAACCTATAAACAATATCTTTAATAAGAAAAAATATAAGAATATTATGATGTAAAAAAATTATAATAATATTATGAACTAAAACTATGTTACATTTGTTGTGTATCACTTTAGATAATCAATAATGTTTTTCTTTGTAATTTTCATCCGTTCTTTTCTAGTTAACTTAATTTAAAAAAAATTGAAATTTGGAATCGTACTTCAATTATGTTAAGAAAATATGGCGTATTGTGCTAATTGGACTTAAGAGTTAATACGACTATGGAAATCTACGTATTTTACAAATATCTTTTGACTAAGTTGAATTACCTTAAAGATAACGACATGTTAGTTAACTTTACCTATTTAAAGAATTAATAACTGTTGACAAATCTAACTATAAGGCATGTAAGTCATTATATTATCATTAACGGAACAAGTTCAGGTACAAGAGGAAACATGAAGCCATTGTGAAGGTCTACCTAAAATGGTAATAATTCTAACCTTTGGCAAAGAAAATCCAAAGGCACGTAGCTAAAATGCGGGTATCATTTTCAAAGCTGAACTATGTCAGGTCATGTTGAATAAACAAAAACAAGAATAAACAATGATGTTATTCCACATCACAATTCGGCTAAATTTGGAATGAATACAATTCGGTTAAATTAAGGATGAATCTAGATGTACAACTTAAATGGAAAGAGTAGAAAAAAATCGTTAAAATTAAATTCAAAAAAATGTATTGGCTCTTAGGAATAAACAATAAACTGTTGATTTATAAAAAATCCTAAAACCAGTCTGGATTTATGGCATACAGTTATGGGGATGTGTCAGCAACAATAATATCCTAAATAAGTCCTAAAATGCACCGTTGTTGCACCTTGGTCGACTACACGTCAATGAAGAACCGCTGCAATTACTGGATATCTCTACACTCAACAGAAGGCTCAAAAGAAAGAAATCATTTGATATAGTGCAGTGAACATTAACATTAATATTATAGTAGAACAGTGTAATAA